GCCAGCGCGCTCTCTGAAACCCAGCGGGACCGGAGGGGGGGGGGCGGGGGATGGGCGGCAGCGCCGGGCAGACGCTGCAAGTCCGCCCTGACCCACACGCACCCGTGCGCGGGTCTGCACCGCCAACACGTGCTAACACGGGTGATTCTTCTCCATTCATTCTCAGGCGCTTATTTGATTTGCATAATTCCCAGGCCAATAAATCTTAGCATTGAGGCGGATTTGATGTGTCATGCAGACAGCTAAATTAAGAATAAGGTATTTTCGCAGCTCCACTAAATTTTCTTTTCTCGGCTCTACCATTTTTTACACTGGGTTAATCTTTTTTTTATTCATAAGAGCTTCCTTGCGATTTGTCACAGCTGCATTAACAGGGCGGCTGATGAAGGCTTAGATGTGGAAGTCTGCAGGGCGTTTTTCCTCAACGGCAAAATGAATAAAGCAGCAGAAAAATAGCTTCCTGCCCTGGAACTCCTTCCTCCAACCCTGAGTCCCCTCAAATCTGTTTTGCGGGTGTCCCCCAGAACTGGAGCTCGGCTGTCAACTCCAGCCCAGGGGCCAACGCCAGCTGCCACCTACTGACCGCCCGGCTCATTGCTTAGAGAGGCTGGGATCAGAGCGGCCAGGAGTGTGTCCTCCCCGCCATTCCCTCCACACACACGTAGCGAGCGCCTTCCATGGGCCGGGCTCCGGGGTATAAACCAGGCTCGAGGTCACAGTCGAATGAGGCGTGCCACCCTTGTTGGCCAATGTCAGAAAAAGATCTTAGCCAAGAATCAAGGTTGGCAGAGAGCTGGGAAGATTGTCTGCTCTATCCTTTTGCCCTTGGGAGGGTGGCTCTCCCAACCAGCTTTTCTATTACAGAAGGGCCGCCCAAGGCTGGTGATTTCACAGCAGGGCTCTGACTGGTAGAATGTATCGATGTTCGTGTATATTAGCTTCCCAGGGCTGCGGTAACAACACACCACAAACAGAGCAGCTTAAACAACAGAAATGTATTTATTGCCTTTCAGTTCTGGGGGCTAGCTGTCCAAAATCAGGGTGTTGGCGGGGTGGCTTCCGTCCGTGGCCGCGAGGGAAGGAGCTGTCCCGGGCCTCTCTCCCCGGCCTGTAGATGGCCGGCTTCTCCCTCTGTCTCGTCACACTGCTTCTTCCTCTGTCCCCAAACTGCCCCCTTTTATAAGGACACGCGTCACATTGGATCAAGGCCTACCCTGATGAACTCACTATAATTTGATTACCTCCACAGAGACCTTATTTCCAAATCAGCTGCCATTCTGAAGTATGGGGGGCTAGGACTTCAACACGTGAACTTGAGGGAGACACAGTTCAGCCCCTAACAATGAGTGTCCCCATCGCTGGTTTGACTAAAGCTCTACCACAGCCTCCGGCAGCACAGTCCAGTTAGGGCATGCGCGAGAAGACTGAGAATCCTCAGCTGAAGTTCTAAGTTAGCCACTTCCCCGAGTAGGAGAGGCAACCTCTCCCTCCGCCCCCTCTCCCTCTCTAAAAATAAATTTTTCTCTCCCTCTCTCCCTCCCTCCCCCTCTCTAAAAATAAATTTTTAAACTACTTTTTTAAATAAATAAATAAATTAGCCACTTCCCTTCTCCAAGCCTCAGGTTTCTTCTCTAGAGGATAAGCGGTCTAGGCCCTGGCCAGGTAGTTCAGTTGGTTAGAGCATCGTCCCAAAACACCAAGGTTGTGGGTTCAATCCCCAGTCAGGGCACATACAAGAAGCAACCAGTGAATGCATAAGTAACTGGAACAACAAATCAATGTCTTTCTTTTTCTGTCTCTCTTTTTTTCCCTCTCTCCCCTTCCTCTCTCTCTCTCAAATCAATAAATTTTAAAATAATTTTTTAAGAGAACAAGGGATTAGGATTGGGCCTCCAAGCCCTCCCATTTCTCTGCAGGGCTGGGTTGCACACGGAGTGAGAGGAGCTGAGGCAGTTGGGGCGGGGCGGGGGGTGGGGGGGGGGTCCTGGGGAGGCTGCACCACTTGCCAGCAGGGTGGTCTTGAGCAAGCTTGTTCTTCTGAGCCTCAGGGCTTTTTAAACTGCAAACAGGGGTCTCGATAGCACCTACTTCAAAAACGTTGTGAAAACTAAGAGGACTGTGACTCCTGGGCACTGGCTGTCCCTTCAAGTACGGGAACGGCTAACAGCACCGCTGCTATTGTCGTGATGAGGAGTCAGGCTTGGACCTAGGACTCAGCTCCCGGGCGAGCCCCGGGGCCCTACCGGACGGCTCCCAGGGAGTGACAGGCTCAGGCTGGCCAGTCTCCCATGAAACTCCCAAAGTGTCTTCCCCACCCCTACCTTCCCTAAATCCTACTCCATTCCACTTAGCTCATTCCCATTCCCGTCACTGGAGCTCTGGCTGGGATTTCAGGTGACTTTTCTCACTGTATTTTGTCATTTTTAATAGCATCAAAATGTGTAATAAAAGCTACGTGATCATCTCAGACACACGGCGCTCTGGAGCAGCCATGCAAGGCCAGCCCCGAGGTCTCATCCCCCACGAACACCAGCCCACTGGAGGACCCTGGCCCTCCCTGGGCTCCCGCCTTTGTGGAGCCATCGGCGATTCTCTCCCGTGTCCTCGCCTGGACTGTAAGCAAATTGAGGAAACAGCCTGAGGTTTCTGAGTCAGAATTTGCTGCATCCTGACTCCATTTAGCAAAGCTCATTTACTGACTCCCACAATGCACCAGCCCCTCTTACAGAAACTCCCCACAACTTGATGAGGCTGGTGACAGTACCCCCATGTCCCAGATGAGTCCTGGAGGCTCAGCGGTCACACAGGCAGGCAGTGGTGAAGCCAGGACACAACTGCAGCTCCGTCTGACTCGGAGGCCCCCACCTAGTGCAGGGCCTCCTCTGCGAGCCTCGCTAGCTCAGGCACCTGGCACCCTCCAGCCGGGGCAGGGTTTTCCGTGGCCTTGGAGGGCATCCTCTGCTAGGCCCTCCTGGGATGACCATTTCCCGAGAGCTTGTGTTTTGCAGGAGGGGAGAAAGAAGACGATAAAGGTGGTTGGAGTTTGGGATTAAAGGTTCTTTAGTTTACACAGAGTCCATTCCCAAAAGACCCACCAAGATCCTTCGGTGGATCCGGGCGGATTCCTGCTGAGCTCTGCAATGCGCAAGTGAGGAAACAGGGAACACTCTCCTCCCTTCTTTGGAAAGTACACACGTCAATGACAATGCAGTGAGGGGAGCACGCTAACCGGGAGTCGGGAGACTTTTCCCGTCACCCTGGAAATGGTTATCAGCACTCAAAACTGAGCCTCCAGAGGCATAGAATACTCCAGGAGCAGAAGACAGTGGAAAACACTTAGGGCTCAGGCACCTCCCCCAACCATCAGCCCCGCCCCCCGCACTTCCCCCATTTAGATAAGCCCCCCCACTCCCTCCGTCACCACCACCCTGGGGCAAGACAGCAAAACTGGGCAGAGAAAGGGAATGGGGTGGAGCAGCTTCCTCCCTCTCCGGTGTGGCAAGGACGGTTGGGCCGCTGGTCCTCCCCTCCCGATGCTCCCTTCCCTCTTCAGAGGCCTTCCTTACAGCTTGAACCATGCCGTCAGCTCTTCCGGGAATCCTTTCGTCATGGATCTGGCTTTGAGATCATCGGAGACGCCCTGGAGCTCTTTGGCCAGCCCGGCAGCCGCTAGGCCCAGGTGGCTGTCGAGCCCTTGAAATGCGGCGAGTCTGAACTGAAATGTGCTGTCAGTGCAAAACAGGAACTGGGGTTTGAAGACTATGATGGTGTGTGTATGTGGGGGGGATGTAAAGTATCTCGGCGGTATTGTTTAAATTGATTACAGGTTGACATGGTAATATTTTGGACATATTATTGGATCAATAAAACACATTATTAAAATTAACTTCACCTGTTTTACTTTGTAGTGTAGCTACCAGATCTTTTAAAATTACAGATGTCGCTCACATGACATTTCTCTTGGACGTCACTGCCCTGGAGGTAAACCAGCCGGAGCTGGGAAGCACTAACCCCGCAAAGCTTTACACCGCCTGGGACCACAAGGGGGCGGTACTGCAGCGCCGACTTCAGCGGGAAGCAGGCTGGCTCTTTATCTAATGCTGTCTTTCTTCTAAAATTCAGACTAGAATTTTAAGGAAGCTGCAAGTTTCACTAACGCAGCTAGGAAAGCACTACAGGCAAAAGTCACAAGCAACCCAGCTGCACGTTAATAAGAGGGTGCTTAAATCAGTAAGGTATGGCTATAATAAGGAATATTTTGTGTTACAAAGAATGTAAATGAACGTTTACCGAATGTGGAGAGATATTTATGGTAAACTCGGTTAAAAGGGCCAGCTACAGAATTGTATGCCCAGCGTGTATGTCAGTTGCACTTAAAAATGAAAAACAAATTAAAAGCGTACATCTGCAAAGACGATGGGCTGAAAGGATATAGTCCAAGAGATTAACAGTCATCTCTGGGCAGACCATGGGTGGCTTTCTTTCTTTATTTTTGCAGCTACTTTATAATTAATTTTAAAGTTACTAAGTTGTCCCACCTCGTGTTCTTTTCAAATGCCACCTTCTTTCCCAACCTGTCCCGAACCCTTGCTAAAGAAAGAACCAATGTCTTGGTTAAAATCCCGACACTTTCCCAATACCTAGCGGGGGTTTCATCTTGTTCCCTCGCCCTCTAGCCCCGTGTGCCCGTCGTTTCCCCTCCAAGCCTGTGGACCCCTTCATGGGGTCCCGTGTCTCTTCTCGGTCCCTGACCCAGCCCCTTGCGCAGACCCTGCCTGACCACCGCATCACGGTAAAACTAACACGAAATCTGGCGGGCGTTTCGGAGTTGATTGAATCGGAATGCCATGGTCACACCCCTGACACAAGGTGGCCGGCCAGAAACCAGCGGATGAGCCTTTGGATGCTCCGCAGGGCTCCCGCGGCTGGAGCGGAGTGAGCGCTTCCGGTTCCCAACGCTGCGGCGGCGCGGCGAACTTTGACCCTGCGGAGGCGCCGTCCTGCGCACGCCCCACTCGTGTCATGTGACCGAGGAGTGTCGGGGGGCCTGGGCTGGAGGAGGAAGAACCGGACCCCTGGAGGGATGGAGGCGACTTTGGAGCAGCACTTGGAAGACACGTGAGTGGTGCGGCCGGTTCGGAACGTCCTGAGGTCGCGGCGGGGGTTCTTGAGCGGGACAAAGAGGCGAACTGTGCCTGTAGGGTGGCTTGAGGACACCGCGCGACCCCCAGGCGGCGGGGTCGGGCGGTGAATGGAGCTCTGGGGCCGTAGGGAGCTGTTAACCCGGAATTCAGGTGCCGTGGGGCTCCGCACCCTCCCTGCGGAGCGAGTCTCCGCGGCCCGAGGCCTGAGCCGCCGTTCACGGTGAAATTGTCTCTGGACAGGGGCGTTCTGCGCGGGGTTCGGGAAATGGCTTCATTTGGGGGAAGTGCGTGCCACTGGTGCGGACGAGCCTTGCAGTGTAGACGTAAACACACACACGCTTCTTCTCCTTCCGTGTGTGACCAGTTGCTTGGTGATTAAGAATGAAAGACGTCCCTTTAGTTTTTCAACGGGCACTAGCTACGTACAATTCAGAATAAGAAGACGTGCAGGGAAACGCCTCCGTCGTCCCGGTGCCCCTCAGCTTCCCAGCCCCTGCGGGAGGCAGCCGTGTTGCTTGAGTGTTTCAGCGGTTGTTTTGAGCGAGTTAGCACCCTAGAGCCTGCGTTTTCAACGAGGGCAGCAGAGTCCTAGATACTGCGATGTTTGTGGCCCTCCAAAGCTCCCTGACACAGTCTTTTCTGTCATCGGAGAGAAATTGGCTTAACTATTTGAGTTAGATAATTTTTCTCGGGTGTGGGGGGGGCGGGGCGATCATGGAAAAAGGTTGAGAAGCATTGGTTTGTAGAACTTGCAACAATGCCTGATGTGTAGAATGCCTGTGTGTGTGTTGCTGTGATATTTAAATTCATTTTTTCACATCGTGTGTTTCTGGAATTAGAATGAAGAATCCGTCCATTGTTGGAGTCCTGTGCACAGATTCGCAAGGGCTTAACCTGGGCTGTAAGTATCGCCGTCAGCGTCGGTGGGTGGCACAGCGTTGATGCTGACGGGGAGGCAGCGCGCCGTTCGGCCGCCACTTTGTGGCTACTTTTGTGAGAGTAGAGATTACCTCCAAATAACGAGACTAGAAAATTAAAACTTTTCACTTTGTGCTTATGAAGGTAGGAACGTTCCTTGCAGTACACAGTTGTTTCTACCAAAGCAGTGTTTGACTCATTTCACAGTGGATGGGGAAGGGACTTCCGGTCATGGCAGCAGTTATGTGGGTTGAATGGGTACCGGCTGCCGGCAATGCTGGGCTTCGTGTACTAATCTCCAGTTTTCACATTCGTCCTGCGGGACGCTGTTGCTTAGTCTGCGCTCAAACAGGGAGTAGGCGGTGACAATGGGGCCTCAGAATTGGACACACCTGGGTTCAGCCCCTGCTCTCCCATTTAATTTGCTTGGACCAAAAATCTGAGCCTCAGTTTCTTCACTGAGTTGTTGTTTAATAATGATAGTAATTATTGAATTGCGTTTACTGAGCTTTTACTAGGTGCCAGGCGCCACTCGTGTGTGTGGGAAGTCGTTTAATCCCCATAACGGGAGGTCGACAAAGAGGGGCAGGGGTTCTGTTGGGATTTGAGGCCGGCTCCGAAGCTGCTTGGTCACGGCACTGTAAGGTTGCATAGTGTGCACCAAACACAGCACACAACCCAGCCGTCATGCTCGATAGAGGGTGACAATTGCAGATGAGGAACGAAATCCGGAAAGGTAGATAATAACGCATTTGGCTGATTGATATCAGAACTAGTCAGCCGGAACTCCTCTTTACTGCGGACTTTTTGGAAATGAACTTCTGTGAGGAGGGCGGCCGGAAGGGAGCCTGTCCGTGTGACCCGGGTTTTGCACACACCGTGAGTCGGGAGAGGAGAAGCGGGTGGGGCGTGGGGCGCTTGCCTGGCTCACGCCTGGAAACTCGGGCGAGGAAACCTTCAGGTTTCCGCCCGGAGGGCTGCGCCATCTGTACGGCAGTGCCCATCCCTCGCTCTGCGCGGCCGCGTGCCTGGCACCGGACTCGGGTTCGGGCAGACAAGGCGTGTGTTGCCGTTATACGTGCAGATACGTTGTGAAGTTAGTGATTCCTCTTTTGCACCTGCTGCCCGAGATTCAGTTACTATTTACAGGCTGAAACAAGCAATAAAAAGCCGATTCTGTTGACACTGGCTTTTCCGTTGACAGCCAGCTTGCCCTGGTGGGACTGACTGCTCGCAGAATGCCCACATGTGCTGTCAAGGTGGTCTCCCGGTTGAGCCCCGGAGTAAAGACTCTCACGCCCCTTGAGGCTGAGCTCAGTTAAGGGAAATCAGATTTCACTCGGGGAGTTGGTTTCAACAGGTCTCTCGCCCTTGCCGACTGCCCTTTGTCGATCTCACTTCCAGCTTGCTTGTTGGTTTCAGCAAGGCTCCTATAAAGTGAACTTACGACTTTCAGGTTGACTTGAATCACAGCGTCCTTACATGCCTGCGGAGGTGTTTGGAGGTGGTGATGGGACTGGCTGAAAACGGAGTGTCGGTTATGGCTTTATTAACTCGAGACCTGAAGTCCGGCTTTCTCGCCGATGCAGCCAGCTGAGAACACTGGCGCAGAAGCACTTCTCGTCCGTTTATAACCTGGGAGTTTCTAACCTGGGAGTGAACTCTGTTTGTGAAAAATTCGGTGACAGGGACGACCACCACAGCCCCACACCCCCTTTAGGGCAGCCAGGCGCCACGACGTCCTCTCTGTCTTCCAGGCCGCGGGACCCTGTCGGATGAGCACGCCGGGGTGATATCCGTGCTGGCCCAGCAGGCGGCCAAGCTGACCTCGGACCCTACCGACATTCCCGTGGTATGTCTAGAGTCCGACAGTGGGTGAGTAGGAGTCAGCGGGTCCCTTCCTTTCCCTTCCGGTCAGAAAGTGCCTGGGAAGCCTGCTCGGGCCACAGGCGCAGGCAGGTCGGTCTCTGAAGCCCCTGCGCTTTCAGACAACAGCGACGCCCACGCGAAGAGGAAGAGTTGCCATGAGCTGTCAGTCCACCAAGGAAAAAAGTAAAATGGAGGGAGACCAGTCAAAGAACAGAAACTACTTCTGTAGTAACGGGAATGCTACAGCTGTCCCACATTGTCAGGAGGACACAGCAGACTAGATGTGGTGTCGTCACAGTTCTGTAGGAAGAGGAGAACACATATGATAGGATACGTGCAGATAAAACCAGGAGTGGTTGGTAATAGGATTCATTTCCTTTTTATACTTCATTCTTTTCTGCATTTCCCAAATGTTTTGTGGTGTTCATATATTGCTTTTATTCATCGAAAAGCACTGTCCTGGCTGGTGTGGCTCAGTGGATTGCTTGCCAGCCTGTGAACCGAAGGTCGCTGGTTCGATTCCCAGGGCACAGGCCTGGGTTGCAGTCTGGGTCCCCAGTGGGGGGCGTGCAGGAGGCAACCGATCAAAGTGTCTCCTGCACATCAATGTTTCCCTCTCTTCCCTCTCTCTAAAAATAAATAAAATCTTCTTTAGAAAAAGAAAGAAGTGAAAAGTGCTACATATTTTTTTTAGTTGTATCCTAATCCAAGCTTCACCTTTAATCGTCCACCAGCTCCCATGTGGAACGTCTTACGAACGTCTTGCACTTTGCCTTCCAGGAACATCATGATCCAGAAGCACGACGGCATCACCGTGGCGGTGCACAAGATGGCCTCCTGACGCCCGGGCCGCCCTGCCGCCGCCCGCCCCCGGGGTCCGCGCCCCTCCGTGTGACTGGGGCGGCACGTGCGGCGCCGGCTGCAGTAGTCAGGCTGCCCCCTGCATGTGCTCTGGGCCCTTGTGTGCTGAGTTCGGGGTGAGTGGCCCGTGGCCGCTCCGGGGCTGACTTAAAACATTGGCAAGAACGGACCTTGCTCTGCAGCGGCAGGTGCAGGTGACTTGGCACAGAGAGTTTTGTCGTGTTCAATAAACGTGGTTGGAGGAAAGCTTGGGTCTCTTCTGGATTCTCTAACTAAGTGTTCGTATTTACAGTCATCAGACTATAATTTTTTTAAAAAGGTCTTTGTCCAAATTACTCTCTTTCAGAAGCTTCCTGAAATACATACATTCTCACAGAAGTGCGCATGGATTGTTTTTTATTTTTTCAATTGAGTTTTATTGTACTTTTCCATTACCATTTAGTCAGTCCCCTTATCCCCCTCCCCCCACAATTACCACACTATTGTCCACGAGTCATTTTTCTTTTTTGCTCAGTCCCTCCATACCCTCACCAGCCCCCATCCATGGATATTTAAATTAAGCGTATTCCTGCCCCATAATAAAAATATAATGGCTAATATCATTAAGTACTTACTATATGCTAGTAACCCCCTGGATTCTCATTGATAACTCTATATGGTAGGCCCTCTTCCTTGCCCATTCTGTGAGGCTAAGGGGTCAGCAGTCACCATGTGGACTTGAGAGTCCAGCCCATAACCTGTGCTGTCCACGGCCAGGCTGTTGTGGAGATTGGCCAGAGAGAGAACCATGTGAGAGTGCAGACCATTCTCTCCTCTTCAGCCTCTGTAGTTCTCGGCAGTGGTTCCCCAGCAGGCATGAAAGATCTTGTTGCATTTGCATACAGCTTCTGTTGAGCAACTGCGCATTTGACAGTATGAAAAAAGTCTCCAGAACCTTACTATTACTCAGAAACGGCAAGCACCTCCCAGTAGAAAGTGCTGTGTGAGGCGGGGCTCCAGCCTGGAGCTCAGACGGGGGGGTGGGGGGGGGGCGGAGGCCGGCGTGCGTGCGTGTCGCCTTCCTCACTCTCGCCAGTGCCCAGCATATGCTGTGCGTGTTCATCTCATCGCCTATCTGCCCCACTAGCTTGGGCGCTTCGAGGCAGGAGCTTTGTCCTATTCTTGGATGTATTCTGATCCCTGGCCAGCCCCAGCACACGGTGGGCACGGAATAAACCCCCGCAGAGTAGGTGGACATCACAAAGGGGAGTTGGGCACGAACCAGGCCTCTGCAGGCGGAAGGGGTGGCAATGGCGAAGACGGGACGTAAACCAGAAGGAACGCCTGTGACACTGAACGCTGCAGTGCGGTCTGACAGAGGAGGTGGGGCAGCTGCCTGAAGGAACCGGAAGATTTGCTTTTTGGTTTATTTTGTTTTGTTTAAATAAAGAATCCTAGGCCTGCCTTACCCTGTTAGAAAAATGGGTGAGAGTCAAGAGTTGAGCTTTCAGGTAAATCTGAGGTGGACTGGGCTCGTTTTTTTTTTTCAAGGGGAAAAACTTCCTCTTGCTTATCCACGTGTCTCCAGTTCCCAGGCCAAAGTAATGATGGCCGACCTTGAGTGGGCTTTTGCTGTGTGCTAGATACGTGTTAAGCAATGCACAAGCATTTACTTTAGTCCTAACTACATGGGGTGGCATCTCCATGTTAGGAAGAAATAGGCTCTGTGAAATAAAGTAGCTCAGAATGAAGTACTGGAGACTAGGAGCGAATTGAAGGGGGAATAAAAGAGGCCCTGGCTGGTGTGGCCCAGTGGCTGAGTGCCGGCCTGCAAACCAAAGGGTCACCGGTCTGATTCCTTCTCAGGGCACATGCCTGGGTTGCGGGCCAGGTTCCCTAGTAACGGGTACATGAGAGGCAACCGCACGTTGATGTTTCTCTCCCTCTCTCCCCCTCTCTAAAAAAAGTAAATAAAATATTCTTTTTAAAAAAGGACGATTGAAGATAATTGAACCGCCTAGTCTAGAAGATAAGACCTGGGTGCCTTCGAAGTCGGCTCAGGAAGGATGACGTGGGAAAGACGGCTGGGTTTGAGATTGGTCCTGTTGATGCAAATTCTGACAGGACGTCCTCAGCGCTCAGCAACAAACACGTTGGGTGTGCTCATTATGCACCACACACAGTGCTGACCTCCCTCCGGGGACCTCCCTTGCTTCTAGAACAAAAACCCGGCGCTCCCACCGCAGTCTCCCAGGCCCACGTGATCCAGCCCACCTTCTGCTCGGGCTCATGCCGCCTTCTGCCTACACACACCCCTCTGTCCAGCACAGCACCTGGCACGTAGGAGGCCACTTCCCTGAGGGACACGAATAAATGAACTTCTTGTGTATTCCTGTCTGTTGCAGTAGGAGGAGGCAGTGCACCCAGTTTTGTGCATGGGCTGTATTTGACAGTGGGGTGAGGGCAATTGTGGTGACATAGGAAATCAAGCTGCAATTCTTGCTGAATAGCATCAGGCCAAAAGTTAGGAGGTTAGAGGTTAAGGGGCCCTGACCCGTGTGGCTCAGCGGGCTGGGTGACGTCCTGCAAAGCAAAAGGTCGCCGGTTTGATTCCAAGTCAGGGAACAAGCCTGGGTTTTTGGCCAGGTGCCCAGTTGGGGGTGTGTGAGAGGCAACCAATATTGTCTCAATCCACCAATGTTCCCCACCTAAATGTTTCCCTCCCTGATCCCCTCTCTGAAAATGAACAAATAGAACCTTTAAAAAGAAAAAAAGATGCCCTGGCTGATGTGGCTCAGTAGATTGAGCACTGGACTGCAGAGCACTGGGTCACCAGCTCAATTCCCAGTCAGGGCACAGGCCTGGGTTGCAGGCCAGGCCCCCAGTAGGGGGCGTTCAAGAGGCAACCACACACTGATGTTTCTCTCCCCACTCCCCGTCTCTCCAAAAAATAAATAAAATCTGCCTGGCTGGCGTAGCTCAGTGGATTGAGCGCGAGCTGGGAACCAAAGTGTCCCAGGTTCGATTCCCAGCCAGGGTACATTCCTGGGTTGCAGGCCATAACCCCCAGCAACCGCACATTGATGTTTCTCTCTCTCTCTCTCTCTCTCTCTCTCCCCCCCTCCCTTCCCTCTCTAAAAATAAATAAATAAAATCTTTAAAAAAAATTAAAAACTGATGAATATTCAAAAAAATAAATAAATAAAATAAATAAAATCTTTTACAAAGGAAAAAAAAGGTCAGAGGTTAAGGGAGTTATGTTTAGTTACATACCCTATAAGCTTTATTAAGTCCAATGGGTACAGATAGGAAAATGCTTGTATCATGACAATGACGTCCGGGTCCTTTACTCTTGACATGGGGCCCCACCTGACTGATAAGAACCATTTGCAATGAACTAAGTACCGGCAGTGGGTCTGATGTGCAGCCATCGTGTTGGCATCAGTCCTCACAACAAACTTGCAGAGTGGCACCAGCCACGTGCTACTACAGGTGGGTGAGGAAACAGTAATGGCCGGCAGCCCGCAGACCTGAAAGGGGGTGCAGCTGAGATCCTCACCCCGTCTGCATTTCCCACTGCACCCCCCGAGCTGCTCCTCTGCAGGCCCTTTCCAGGGGTGCCCACCTCTGAAGACTCCGCATCCCTCGCGCCTCCGAAGGACTCGCGGCTCTGCCAGACCGCAGCTCTGACCCGGCCGGCCCCGCAGAGTTCTCCGTCGATGAAAGGCCCGGCCCGCCTCACCCTGCCGTCAGAGTCAGAGCCAGCCTGGCTTTCACAAAGCAGCCAGCTGCCACGAAAACCTGAATCAGTCCTACCAGAAATCCTTTCCTGAGGATGTTCCTAAAGACACCCGAATAGTGTTCCCCTTCTCTCTCCAGGGGTTTCGCCTCCTGCTGGAGGCTTGCTCGGTCCTCGCCACCAGCACCTCGGGACTGCGTCCCCTTCCCTGTCACTGACGCACGAGGCTTCTCCCGGGCCACGAGGCTGGAATTATGCTAGCGCGTTCATCAAAAAGTATCAGAGAGTCTAGTTTTAAGAGCTTGAGAGCCTCTTACTTCTTAAAAAGGACCACGCATAGCCCTGGCCATTGTGGCTCAGGCGGTTGGAGCATCGTCCCAAAACCGAAAGGCCGAGGGTCCGATTCCTGGTTGGGGCCCAGACGCGGCTTGCGTGTTCGATCCCCGGTTTGAGCGTGTACAGGAGACAACCGTTTGCTTCTCCTTCAAATCAACGTTTCTCTCCCTTCCTCTCTCTCTAAAAGCAATGAAAAAAATGTCCGTGGGTAAGGATTTAAAAAAAAATAAAATAAGTGAAAAGGAACATGCGTAAATATGTGCCGATTGTCCAGCTAAAACATGAAAAATACACTTTGGCCTAAAATACACTTTGGTTTGGAACCTGGAATGCTGGTGCTGGGAGATGAAACGCAAGTTCCTGTTGACTTTTTTTTTTTTTTTTGAGGTGGAGGGTGGAACAGAAGAAGGAAATGGAATGAGAAAGCCGAATCATCCCAGTGGTTTTCCAGAACACTCAGCCTTACCCATTTCCAAAATGCAATAAGGAAAAAGTTTGATTAAAATTCAAGGATACACCTTCTCTGGGAGGTGTTTGGCAGTCAGGTTATCAAGTATAAAAAAACAGCAATTAAAATGGGGCCTGGAACTGTAATGAGGTGTAGGCCGGTAGGCCCCAGGGCCCCCCAAAGGGGGGATTTGTAATAATGTCTAGAACTTGGGGTGTCGGAGAATATGGGATGTCCACCCCGCACAAAGCTTGGCTGGGCGTGGGGAGACCTGGAGCAGGGCCACAGAGTTACTTTGCATATCAGTAACAGCAGACTAGTCTTCATATCTAGATGCAAAACAGCTATTTTGCATATCCACAGCGGGCTAGCTTCCAGCCTGAGTGGGGTCAGAAGGTACTCAGCACTTAAACCCATGATGTAACGGGAAGGCAGCGCCCCTTATCACACCTGCGTGACCACGCCACAGGGCCACACCGGCCCGGGGCCACTGGGGCGGCCTGGAAAGGCAGAAAGGGGAGGTGCTGGCAGGTATAGTCGATTTGGGAAGAGAAGGAAACGGGGCCATGGGGGAGGTTGCGGGCTGGGATTTAAACTAAAGGCGGCCACCACGAGGAACAGGGGACAACGCGAGACGGAGGACAGTGGGAGACCCTGTGGGAAGGAACGGGGTGAAGGTGAAGCAGGAGACAGTGTAGGAAGAACTCTGAGACTGCAGTACTGTCGCTGGCCAGCATTCAGCACCCTGGTTGCCAGGAAACACCTTTTACCAATTAAGTAGAATAAAAAGTAAACCGAGGCAGGAAGGAGGAAGGAGACAAGTCTCGCACGCTAACTCAGCAGTCCTAAACTGGTCTGTTAATACTGCCAGGTGTTCCAACATCACAAGAAACACTGTTAGCAAGAAAGAAGGAAAGTGCCCCAATTGTAGTTAACTTCCTCCTGTCTCATATTTGTTTTACAACAGGATGACCGAGGGGAGTGTGGAGCAAGATAAGGATTTGGGGCTGAAAGACCCCCACACATCCCTAAGTTTGGGCAGTCACAGTCCCACAGGAAAGCTGGCACCACATTTACCCGCTAATCAATATGCGACCTTTTCCCCTCCTAGCCCACCAACTATGTAAGTCCTGAGAATAAAGGACTCTCTCTCCTCTCTCTCTCTCTCTCTCTCTCTCTCTCTCTCTCTCTCTCTCTCTCTCTCCTGGCTCTCGGGCCACAGGGCCTCTGGCCACCTGGCCTCAGGCTGCCCAGGGGCTCGCCACCCTGGTCTCCAGCCTCTCTTGCTTTTCTCACCCTGCTTTGCCCTGAAACTTTGCCTTTCACCCCCTACTCTACCCAGTCCTGTTCTCTTCCCTGGGAACGGGCCACTAATAAACTGATTACATGCTACTAGATTTGCTGGTATGTAATTCTTTACATGCGTCAGCAAGAAGAACCAGGTCTCTCTCATCAACAAAGGGACTCTCGCTGGCAGGCCATGAGGAGGTGCCATGTGGGTTTGGGTTGAGAACTGGAGACCTCGGTGACACAGCTGATGGTGCTGGGGACGGCGGGAGACCTGCCAGCCGAGCACGGACGCCCGGGAGGGACTGGGAGTCTGGCCGCGCTACAGACCTCGACTCTCTTCCTGAGATGCGGCGCCCCTGCCTGGCCTGATGGGGCAGAGCGGGGAAGGCAGGACTCTGTGTGTGTGTGTGTGTGTGTGTGTGTGTGTGTGTGTGTGTGTGAGGGGTTTAAGGGACTTAGAGATTTTTAACGGCAACATTCCGCCATTACTCTAAACCTGTGTAACTTTTTTTTAACACACCAAACCGATGTTTTAAAACCTGTGTAACTGTGGAATAAACAGTTCCTTTCCTTTTTCCAAACTCTGGCACCGAGAGCCACAGTTCCGAAGGGTGAAGGGCCGCAGGCAAAGAACCATCGTACAGAAAGACCCCAGGGGAGGGGGCGTGTTTTGGTGACAATGTCTGGGCCCGCATGCTTCATCTGTAACAGAACTCCAGCCTGCTCCCCAGGTCCTTTCACAATACACAAAAGGCCACACAAATGAGCTGAACTTCCTGAGCATGGCCATTCGCAACCCAGGGAATGAACCCGCCACTCTGGGAGGGGGCGTATCTCCTCCTGTGAAACACGCATATCCCAAGGTTCCCCAAGAACAGCAGAGGCACAGGTGTCAGAGTCCTGGGGTCCCAATCTGTGCCTTGACCATAGTGTTAAGAAGTAAACTGAGGCATATTAAAACTTGAAGGAGCCTAGCCCTGGCTGGTGTAGCTCAGCAGATTGAGTGCGGGCTGCGAACCAGTGTCAGGTTTGATTCCCAATCAGGCCACATACCTGGGTTGCAGGCCACGGCCCCCAGCAACCGCACATTGATGTTTTTCTCTCTCTCTCTCTCTCTCCCTCCCCTCTCTAAAAATAAATAAATAAAATCTTAAAAAAAAAAAACAACTTGTAGGAGCCCTGGCTGGTGTGGCTCAGTGGATTGAGTGACAGCCTGCGAACCAAAGGGTTACAAGTTCAATTCCCAGTCAGGGCACATGGCTGGGTTGTGGGCCAGGTCCCCAGTTGGGGGCATGCAACAGGCAACCACACATAGATGTTTCTCTCCCTCCCTTCCCCTCTCTCTAAAAATAAATAAAATCTTTAAAAAATAAGTAACAAACAAACCTTGAAGCAATTTATTTGAGCAAAATTCAGTCTGAATGGAACCGGGCAGCACCAAACCGGATGCAGCTAGGACTTAGGTAAGAGCAGCGCACCGACAGCGTGGGGAGAGGCTGTTAGAGAGAGAAGAGCGAGGCCGAGCGAGGAAATGATTGACTGGCTGTGGCTCCGAGCCTGGCTGCCGGTTCGTGCTCAGATTCAGGTTTCTGCCCCCTGCAGCGTCTGCAGGCCTAGGTCTGGGTTTGCTCTGGCAGGCCACCGCGGCCCGGGGCCACCTCTGCAAGGAGCTCCTTGGATTTCCTGCTTCGCTTCTCACTCCGATGCTGGCTTTCTTTCCGGCCCACGGTGAATGCTCTACCCCGAGTCAGCGTGGGGGGTGGGGGGGCCCCCCGGGCCCGAGTCGGGTCAGAGTGGAGTCTCCTCAGGAAGTGAAGTCCACCGGCCAGGGGCGCCGACCTTGGCTCTCACGTCCTGGACTCTCACAATGCTCACTTGTTTTCATAGCACTGCGTCATGAGCGGCCTTAGAAAAAGAGTAACATTCTAGAAAACGGCAGGGTTTATTTTTCTTCCCAAAGTGTCTTGCCTGTGGAGGGTTCCTGTGCTGAACACCACACATGAAAGGTAAGAGGAGTATAGGACTGGGTGTTGGGGTTGGTTTTCTAGAATGTTCTCCACGATCCGCCAGCTAGCCTCCCAGCCCAGCCTGCTCACCACACGGCCCTTCCCTGTGCCGGGCCGGCGGACCCTCCTTCCCGGTGAGAAACAGCCCCTCCGCCAGCCTGACGGCAGGAACTAAAGAATGCTGGACCCCGTCCTCAGAACGTCCACATTTTCTTTCTTGCTATTTCTCTTTATACCATTTGTGAGAAGGTAGCAGACTATGACACTTTGCTCCTGAATACTTTCTAGCATGTTCTGCAGAAGCACAAGACCGTCATCACACCCAAGAGATTTAACTTTGCTACATGGTCCATATTCAAACTTCTCCAACTGACTTCCCAAAGTCCTTTGCCGCTTTTTTCCTGGTCCAGGGTCCATTCAAGGAAGTTACTGCATTTCATTGTTGTGTCCATTTCGTCCCTGGGAGTATTTTCATTGTAGCGAGTGCTTTGCAAATGGAATTCCTAAACCCGAGACACCCACCCTTTTTATTTCTCTAAAGGCCACAGCTCACCCAGAGGACACAGAGGACAGTGCCAGGAGCGGCCACCCCCACAGTCGGGAAGGTCAGGCTTCGAGGTTAACTCCTTTGAAATTCCTGCCTGAGACAAACTGAGTGGTCCTCTTGCCGCCCTTCAAACTAGTGGTAGAGATTTTTCTGCGGTGGCTTCCAAGTCCCTCAGACCACAGCCTGTTCTTCCTTCTCCCAAGATTCTGCCTGCACCGTGATTACGGAATAAGCAGGGACCGGGGTTATTTGAGTCGAGCGGACTTTCTAGGCAACTGAGGACATGCCTTGAGGGAACTGTCAAGCTGCGTGAACTTGCCAGCTGACGCCAGGCCTCAGACCGGCAGAGAAGTCCCCACAGGTGGTCCAAAGTCCTGCGTGCATTTGCCAGGTTGAGGTTAGAGAGTCAATGAACAACTTTTAGAACGAGAGGAAACCATCTATTTTTAAAGGGGGTAGGCTAATAAAAAAAAATTACGGTGCAAATGGCTTCATGCCACCGAGGAAAATAAAGTTTAAACGTTTCGATCTGTTTCTTGCCAACCGGAACAGCCACGTCTTGGGTTCCTTGCAGGGACTGTCTGCACTTGACACAGACGGACGCAGCACCATGCCGAAGAGGGCGGGGAAGGGCTCCCCCTACCTGGGGGCCCTGGACGGAGGCTGGGGATGGATGGTCGTGCTCCACTACTTCCTGGTAAGAATGCCCGTTCCCTCTCCTGCGGCCGGAAAGACTGCGCTCTGGGGGAAGGCTCCGAGCCGCCCGCCTCACAAGATTGCTCTGAACTCCTTGGCATTTGAACAGAAAGGGGGGCAGAGCAAGGCCAGAAACTGCGGATGGTCACTCAAGTGAGCGGCCCTCCGGGAGCCCAGGAGGCTGAAGCCGTCCACCTTGACCGCAAGCAGAAGCATCCCCCCCTACCTGGGGTCCTCCTGCCCTCCACTCTCCACCAATAGCTCTGCCCTGCTGCACGGCACTCAGGTTTGGGGACCATGACACATCGGACCTCCCCAGAAGTAGCACTGGGAAGTGCGAGACAGTGTTTTTGGGGTGGGGTCGCCAGGGCAGCCCAGCGTGGGCGGATGGCTGGCAGCTACCCCCTTCCCTCAGGGGGAAGGGCCGGTCCCCTCTCTGTCCTGTTTGCCGCCTCCCACCCCCTCTCCACCGGCCTCTGCGAATGCCGGGACTGGGCGCCACGTGTGTTTCCGATATGTCTGCAAAGGGCGAGGATGCAGATTCTGAAACGGCAGCCTAGTTTTTCTCCTTCATTCATAAGCAACTGGACTGAGCATCAGTTTTTTTAACGAGCCTCTCGCCCTCGTCCTCCCAGAAGCTCTCAGGGTTAGAGTGGCAATCTGATGGCTCAGCGTTGACTGCCATCCTCGAGTATCGGCGCATCCCGACCCAGCTCAGCCCCAAACAGCCCTGCAGCGTGGCACTGGGGCCATAGTCCCTCTTGCATCCCCAAATCGCACAGAGACCCTTCCCCTCCTGACCACTCCCTCCCCAGCCCGGCCCCCCCGCCCTGCGGTAGCTCACGGGGAGGGGAGCGCCGGCCCTGGTGACCACGAATGTCCCGTAGTCCACAGTGTGGATAGCACAGGACGACAGGAAACACACGTCTCTGCCCTGATGCCAGAGAAGGGAATGTGAGTCCAGGGCAGAGGTCATATAACACAGACCCCTAACCGAGTGAACGTTGGTGGAACATTAGCCGTGTGACCAAAGAATGCGGAACCTCCGTTTTTGTAGTGAGAAGCAAAGGGCGCCCTGGGTCTGAGCCCTTCCTGCGCGGGGCCAGCTCCCGAGGCACAGGCTTTGCAGAGTGGGCACCGCTGGTGAGGCTCTCCCACCTTCCTCCCCAGTAACCACCCTGGCTTTTCCTGCACTATCCTCTGGGGGCAGGGAGTTCCTTAACCGATGTAGTTGCAGGGAAGAAAAGTAGCTTCATAAAGAGATTAATAAAGCCTGTCCCATTTTGGGGGGGGGCGGTGTGATGCTGCTTATAAAAGCATGAAGACTAAACGAGGTCCTCAAACAGTGTACAGTAAACCCTGGCGCGTCGCCTGCGGTGGTGGTGTGGGCGCTTGGGTGACTCTGCGTCGCAAGTATCCTTCTCTGCAATCGATGAGCTCCCGAAAATCGGGTGAAAGGTTCTATGGGGGCTCCCCACATGTTAAGAAAGGACTGGCTCTAAGTCTCCACTTTTTATATTGGCATGACCGTTGTCAGTGTGGCCCGTCTCACGGGACTAGATGTCGCGTGAGGCAGGGACTGTGTCTACTCGCCACTGTAGGTTCCGCGCTGTAAGCCCAGGCCCTACTAAATAGCCTGGAACCCAGCAGGCACTGTTGGTGGGGGCATGGGTGGACGGGTGGACAGACTCACGAACAAACAAGGAGGAAGGCGGTAAATGCTGGAACCGGAGAGAGGGCAGGGCACTCGTACGACACGTTAAGAACCTGGGTTTTCATCTTGAGGAGCTAATAAAATGAAGCAGGAGCGTGATGGGGTCAGACTTGCTTCCCCAGGAAAACAGCTCTGGCGGCAGGGGGTGGACAATGGATTGCTGGGGCCCAGGCCTGCAGGCAAGGAGGTCCAGGGAGGGATGGTGCAATAATCCAGGTGAACTGCGGCCCTAAATTGCGGAAGCAGCCGTGAGCTCAGAGAGAATACAGATCCGAGCGATACTGAGGCGGTCGATTCACAGGACTCGGAGAGTAACTGGAGTTCAGGGAGAGAGGGAGCCCCAGGCTGTCGGCTCAGGGGATGATGGGTGCCCTTTGCTGAGCTGGAGGACACAGGCCGAAGGGGGGATCAGCAGACGGCTTGATTTTGGACAGTCTGGGGGACGTGTGGTGTAACCAATGGGTGCAGACGGCCTGTGCACGCGGGGCACGGATCCGCACCCCGAGACTGTGAGTCATCGGCATCCCTGGGGGTTTGAACCATGGGGCGGGGTAGGTCAAATCGCCAGGGAGAGGGGGGGAGAGCAACTAAGGGCAATTCCCCCTCGGGAAATCGATGTGTAGGGGGCGGGTGGAGTCGCCCGCGGAGGAAACCCGGAGGCAGTCAGAAGTCAGCGAGATCCAGAAATGCGGTGTCACAGAAGCCGAGGCAGCAACGTCCCGGAGAGAATGGGGAGCAGATGCTGCCGAGAAGTCGCGTAGCGTAGAAATGACATGGGCTACAGGGAAGCCTCTGATTAGCTGGGTGAGGGCCAGTGCAGAGGGGCGCTGGGATGGGGCGACGTGGAGACCACCTACCTACTACTCTTTAGTTGGTCTGGGAAGGTCAGGAGGAGCTAAGTGACGCTAGCGAGGGACCCAGGGTGCTTGGGGAATTTGCTGTTCAACCATTTCAGACAAAGCCTGATGCTCTGTATTCCAAAGCGGCCCCTGTGGCCAGCCCAGCCCCAAGGCAATAGGCTAACTAAGTGATCTGGGTGAGGAGGTTCTTGTGGGGTGGGGTGGGGTGGAGGAAATGACTGGGCTGGGTCAGCTGCAGGACAGCTCCTAGGAGCTTTAGTGTTGGGGCGAGCCCGCTGACGACGTCGGATGTGGGCCCTGGGAAAGGACCGAACCCCAGTCATGCTGTTCCGAAGCATGGGGTGAACACAGATATATCTAGTCTGCTTAAATAAGGGGAAACCCTTGGCGACATTTTTTTTTTCAAGCTATGATTTCCCAATCCCTTTTTGAGAGGGAAGGGAGGGCAAAAGAGAGAAACATCAATGTGCGGTTGCTGGGGGCCATGGCCTGCAACCCAGGCATGTGCCCTGACTGGGAATCGAACCTGCGATCCCTTGGTTTGCAGCCTGCTCTCAGTCCACTGAGCTGCGCCAGCCAGGCCTTGGGGACGTTTTAAAAAAATATCTTTGAGTGGAACAGAAACAAAGTTGGAAGGTTACGAGTTAAGGGAGGGAGGCAGGGTAGAGGCCGAGGCGGACCTCGGCTTTTTTGGCGTCCGCAGTGGAGGGCGCAGACTCGTTTACTGGAGACAAGTCATGTCCACTCACTGCTGCTGTGCCCAGACCGCAGAGATGGGGCAGAGAGGGCAATTTCAGAGCTGGGGGGCCCAGGGGCTCACCAAATTCAGGGTGCGGAGGCCAGCCCAGAGCCCACATCCACAGGAAAAGAAGAAGGACATTTCCCAGAGTGGCGCCCCGTTGTAGTGCTCCAGGCTGATGACAGGCGCGGTCACCACTCCGTGTGCTCGGAGCTGGCAGAAACCAGTCCGGGGCCTTCGAGGTTCTGGCGGGTCCTCCAGCCCCCTTGCCTGATAGAAGCACCTTTGGGAACCCTCGGACTGCGAGCCCTCTGACTGAGGGCCTGGTAGAACACTGTTCACTCTGAATGCGTAGCCCCGGTGTCCACAGCACCGTTCACTCCACATCATGCAACACTGGTAGCTTCTACCAGCATCGGAATGGGGGGGAATGTTTTGAGAGACCGCCTCCTCACCACCCCCAACCTCTGCAGCCTTGGGGCACCGCCTCTGGTTCTCGGTCCCTGGCTGCAGAGGAGAGGCAACCCTAGTCTGCAGTAAGGGTCCGGCTGGGGATGGATGGAGGGGGAGGTCCCGGTTCCCGAGCAGAGAGGGGTCGAGGGATGAGGAGGCCGAGAGGAGTCGGGCTCTGACTTGGCCGAGTGGGTGGGAAAGTGGGCCTGGCTAAGAGCGAGGTTTTCATCTGAGAGGGGTCGCCCTGAGTTGGAGAGAGATGGTGAACGGTTCTGTAAAGGAGTCTGAAACTCCTGGGAAAGGACTCCGGTTGCACAGGATAATACAATAGTCATGAATAGTTTGACTATTAAGTGCTGCTTGATGGTCCCGGATTATGATTGTTTGATCTAATGATTTTTCCACTTTTTGATGGCGAAGAAGCAGTAATAAATTACAAGATAATTCAATGCTTTGTTGCGAAATAGTCTTTGTGTTAGATGGTTTTGCCCAGCTGTAGGTGTTCTGACATACCTGTAAGGTAGGCTAAGCTATGATGGTCAGTAGGTTAGGTGTCTTTGATGCATCTTCAAGCAAGGGTATTTTCAATGTATGATGGGTTCGTCGGGGTTTAACCCCAGAATAACGTATTAAGTACTTCATGGGGACTTTCTCAATCTTCACAATCCAGGGTTAGCTAGTCCTGTGAGCTGACTAACCTTTACTTCACCTCCGCCTTACAAAAGAAGAAGCTTCATTTCTGATAAAGAGTTTGCCTAAGGTCACACCACTTGTAGGAAGCGGAGCCAGGAGCCAGGCCGAGGAGGCTGACTCTGCAGAACACCCACTTCTGCACCGCCCGTGGGTGGCAGTGGAAACCGGGAGCGTGAATGACTGCCTACAGGGGCACACAGAAGATCGAGGGAGATGAAGACAGAAACCGAAGGCAGACTTTTCAGTAGCTGGACAGAGAAAGTGAAATCAGTCACAGAGCACTCAGAGTCTGTGATTCTTTTTTTTTTTTTAATTTAATGTAATTTATTTTTTAGAGAGGGGAAGGAAGGGAGGGAGAGAAATATTGATGTGATATATCAATCAGTTGCCTCTCGCACGCCCCCTACTAGGGGAATCAAACTGGTGACCTTTTGATTCTCAAGTAGGCACTTAATCCGCTGAGCCACATCCGCTAGGGCAAGGTCTGTGATTCTTAAGTAATGCATGGCCAGGATGAGAGCAGAGACAGTCGCTTTAAAAAAACTAAGGCCAAAGAAATGGGAAGCTAGGAAGTCCCTGGGGACAGAGTGACTGTGGAGTCTGAGTAGGTGGCTTTCCTTCCAGTTCCTCCCTCCTGAGCCCTGCTCTTCACTGCCCCAGGCTATCCAAGTTGCAAGAAACAAATGCTAGCACCAACAAACAAACAAAACACACACACAAAAAACCTCTGACCTCCAAGGAGTGCTCCTCCTAGTGGTGGGGGGAGGTGGTGCAGGTAAGGAGGGCTCCGTGGGGCAGAAGAAAAGGAAGGGCACATGACCCAACCAGGTGACCTCGTTTACTCCTGTTCCCCTGGCACAAATTAACAGCGGTCCTGTAGGCTCTCAAAAGTGTTTTCAATTTGGATAAATGACATAGTTACCCTATTTATATGTGATGTGAGGGGCCGGGCACTCAGCTCAAGAGCTGAGTTAAAGCAACGCTGACCTAAGAACTGATAGGGACAATTCATCTTTTGGTCCAGTGTGCTTCTCTCCCAAAGGTAAGGGGGCTGGGTTCTGTTCCATGTCACTGTAACAGGACAGCAGGGTAGCGGCTGATCTGGAGTCACTCTCTCCAGGTTCTAATCTCAGCTCCAGCACCTCCATCTTCAGCAACTTTTAAGCTCTCTAAACCTCAATTTCCTGATCTCTGCTATGACAGAGACACACCTATTCCACAGCCTTGTGAAGACTGAATGAGACACTTCCTCGTGAAGTGCTGAGAGAAACCCTTAGGGGATGACCACCCGGCAAAATACCGAATGTACGAGGAATTGCCCAGCGACCTGTAGGTGCTGGGGGAATCGGAACCTCGAGTGGTTGCAACCTCCTCTGTAAGGGCTCGCTCACCACATGACTGGGACTCTGGTCTGCTTTTAGGTAAACGTGTTTGTGGTGGGGATGACCAAGACTTTTGCCATTTTCCTTGTGGTGTTTCAAGAAGAATTTGAAAGCAGCGCGGAGCAGACTGTGTGGATCGGCTCCATCATGGCATCGCTGGCTTTTTCCGGAGGTATGAGCCAGCGGTAAGCTCGCTGTCCCAGGAGCGGGATCACAGAGGGCAGGCAACTCCAACACTCGTCTGTCATTCGCGACCGAGGCCTTGCTGACTCAGGCTCGTTTGTTAATGTGGAAAGTCCCACTTTGCTGAGCAAAGTCCCAACTTGCAGTGTGTAGCCTCCACTTGACTTGGCAAAGTTGGACAAATTCGAGCTCGAGCAAAGGACGCTAAAGAATCCAACTAGTTAATTCCATCGCTGAGTGGTTCACGCCTTGTTCCTTTCCACGGGGCCTTAACCAGGGCTCAGCCAGCCAGTCTCCCGCTGGGCAGTCAGGTCCTGGAGTCCTGGCCTGATCGCCTCAGCCTACTCAGAACAAACGGAGAGCCACCTCCTGTTCCTTTAGTTTTGTGTGGAGCTGCCGTGGGGTGGAGATTAATGAGCAAAGCTCCTTCTAGCCATAGGTCACCAGATGCAATCTCCTTCTGTGGAGGTTTTAAAAGCAATGCGTTTTCAGTAACCTTCTCTTCTGAACCTGCATATTTACAGTCCTTTCCTTAAAACAAACAAACAAACAAACACCCTCTTTTTCCTAAAAGCAAAATAATGTGGGACTGGGGATGGTAAGAAACCCAACACAGAGACCCTTCTGAAGGACACAGCGTACTCCCGGGTAGCGTCCTCCTGTTTACCTGCGGCCGCCCCCCTCAGCTGCACGTCGGTGGTGAGAAAGGCCACAGCACACTCGCCTAGTACTGGCTTCTCTTTCTTTTCCCGAGGTCCCCTGGTTTCCATTATCGGGGAGAGATTCGGAGAGAAAACTACCTCCCTTCTTGGGGCTTTTCTTGTTTCCGGTGGATATATGATCAGCAGCTGGGCTACGAGCATCCCCTTCCTCTTGGTGACTATGGGACTTCTACCCGGTGAGTCCACTGCGAAAAGGCTCTGACGAGGGAACTAGAAACCTCTCACGGTCCCTGGGTTCAAAGGGCCTATTTTATTATCTCGGGTCCAGGAGAATATCTGGTCCGGCACCACGGCCCTTCATTTGATTCCAACCTATTGTGTGTTTTTTTTTTTTTTTTTTTAGGTTTGGGTTCCGCTCTCTTGTACCAATCAGCTCTGCTGATAATTACCAAATACTTCAAAAAACGATTAGCACTTTCTACAGCCATTGCCCGTTCAGGGATGGGGCTGACATTTCTCTTGGTACCTTTTGCAAGAGCCATGATAGATTTGTATGACTGGACAGGTGAGTCATTCTACGTTTCTGACCTATGAACTCTGCACCATTTCCTGTTCAGCTTTCTCCCTCTGATGGCTGGAAGTGAAGATGTTTGGAGCCAGAGTGGGAATAATTTCTAAAGGAAACGTGCTCCTCCTCCTTGGAGAAAACACAGGAGAGATCTTGAACTACCTACAGGCTCAGCCAGTGACAACTCCAAGTTCAGCTGGAGGGGCCCTGAGGGCACTGAAATGTCCCCTGTGGGGACAGCGATACTCCTGGGGAAACAAGGACACCCCTTTCCCCCTCCCTTCCACTCTTTTTTTCAACATTTCCCTCTAAGAAAAAAAGCTGCATTAAAAAAAAAAATGCCTTCTCCATCACCCTTATTAAAACAGAACCAAAAAAGAAAGAATTGGGTAAAAAGAGGATTATGTTCCTTAATACTTAGTCTTTTATATACTGTCAACTATAAATTTTCACAAGTGGATGAAAATCATTCCCTCCACAGTCTTCTTTGTGCCTTAGATAACTAACTGGATTGAGTAATCTTACATTACTGGAAAAATACGATATGCGCATGTGTATGGATATGCCCATTTCTAGATAAGCATATACCCCAGAGCAGTTTTGTTGAGTCTGCCCTTTTCCAAGTAAGAAACCACCAGCAGTGTCGTAGTGAACAGGACCCGCTGGCAAAGCCGTGACGGGAGAGCAGAACCGCAGCTGAGTCTGTCTCTGGAAGCACCGCACACGAGTCCCAGCACTGGGTAGGCCACGCTGAAATCAGGCACCTACTGGCCTCAAAGGCAATACTGGCATCTGTCTTCTTTCAAGGAGATTAAGAATGTCACGAGATGAAAGGCTGTCCCCTCTTGCACAGCAGTTTCCCAATGATTCAAGCCCTGTGTTTATTACGCCCAAGTTTATACCCACCTCAGAATATTTCAAATCCCCATTTAAGACACAATGCAATTGTCTGACATTTGAAATCTCTCCCCTCACCCCAAGAAAACCCTTATTCTTTTTTCCTTTAGCACAAATGGCACTGCCTCCTTCCACACCACGCACTGGGGCTGCTTTCTGGTACCGTAGGTACGAAGGACACCCTTTTCACAAGGACATAGCAGTGTGTATGGCCAACAATTAAGTCACCACATTTACTTTCAGTTAAAATCAGGGGACAAAGCAGCATCTTAAGGAATTATTGCACCATGGGCATTTAGTGGCGGGCTCTTCTGAGCCTAAGAACTCAGCATTATGAAATGAGAGGTAATTTCTCACTTCTCAACTTCTCTCTTTAAGGTGCCCTTGTATTATTTGGAGCTGTCATGCTGAACTTGGTGCCTTCTAGTATGCTCTTGAGACCCATCCACGTCACCAGCGAGAACAATTCTGACATGACGGATAAAGGGGGCAGTTTGTCTGCAGGTGGCCTGGAGGCAGCGTGCAGGCCAGACGCGCCCCGCTGCAGTGCAACGCCGGCGTCTCCCACCAGGGACAGTGCTCTGCAGAAGGCTGGGCCAGCCGGTGCAAGTGCAATAGGCTCACAGGATCAAAACGAAGAGGTCAACAATGGGCCGAACAGGAACAGGCTGTTCCTGGTAATGAAGGAAGAACATTTCGAGCCAAAGGGTATTTCATGGAGCTGTAAACAACTCTGTGACATGTCTCTTCTGAAGAAGCCTTTCTTCTGCATATTCACGTGGTCTCTTCTCTTCAGTAACTTGGCATACGTGGTGTCCACCTTCCACCTGGTAGCCAGAGCCAAAACACTGGGAATCGACGTCACGGACGCCTCCTACCTGGTCGCTGCTGCAGGTAAGAAAGCCTGCTGCAGCCTCACACTCAGCCAAGGAGAGAGGTCTTAGTAGTTTTTCACAGGTGCCCATCTGACCCAGTAGACATTGTTAGTTGGAAAATACTGTAATTTTTAAAAGATTTTATTTATTTTGAGAGAGGGAAAGGGAAGGAGAAAGGGAGAGAAACATCAGTGTGTGGTTGCTACACACGTACTCCCTACTGGGGACCTGGCCCACAACCCAGGCATGTGCCCTGACTGGGAATTGAACCGGCGACACTTTGGTTCATGGGCCAGCACTCAATCCACTGAGTCACACCAGCCAGCCAGGTTGGAAAATACTGCATTTTTAAAAGCTAGTGCTTAGTGGCAACTGCCACCCAAGGAAGCAAAAGAAATTCTAGGTGGAGAGCTTAGCACCGTGGTTGAAAGGTTTGGTTCTGTGGCTAGACTTCCTGGGTTCAACTTTTTGTTCGCTACTCCTGAGCTATGCTACCTTGGGCAAGTCACATGCTTTCTCTGTGCCTCAACTTCCTCATCTGCAACATAGGGATAATAGCATGCACCCTGATAAGGCCATTAGGATTAAACAAGTAACGCGTTTGAGGTTTAGCGTAGTGCCTGGCCCATTGTGAGCATTCAACAATATTCTACTAACATTTGTAGCTACTTTTTCCCTTGAACTCACAGTAAGACATAATTATGCTTGATGAGGCTAGTCACTAAGGGACCAGCTGACATTTAAAGTAAATTAGAATGTAAGTTAAAAAGGAAAAACAGTTAAGCATAAAAATGTATGGGAACAGGATGCTTGACCCAGTACAGGCTCTCACACCTGCAGAAAGAGGAAGTCTAAAAACGTGAGCAGGGGGAAAGGGAACCGGTTTGCTGTCACCTGGAAACTCTCGGCAGCGCAGCGCTGACTGCCCCCTCGCTAACTTCTTGCCAGACCATGTACCAAGTCCTCACAGGCCGACCGCACTTCACTTCCAACTGCAGAGGTGTCTGCTTCAGACCGAGTGTACGCACGCACACAGAAAACACAGAGCTAAACGCTCTTTCACTGAACTGCCAGACGGTGTCAGTTTAGGTCAGATTAGGGCTATCCAACAGAACAAAAGAACGTAACATACAGACCAAGTATGTATCCTAGGAACAGCAACGGCGGTGTTCGGTACTTTCATTTCCTTTTGCGCGTGCGTGTGGGGGTGTGTAGTTTATGTCTGAACTGTAGGGAGGATCTGAAATATAAAACTGCAGCTCATGCTCATCTTCTCTTGGTGTTCAACCACATTAGCTTTTAACAGTGTAAGGGATTAAGAATGCTTTATTATCATGGAATTGAGCAAAAATGGGGTTCTTACATTTTATTCTAGTTACATCACAGCCCCAGTGTTCAAAATGTAATCTTCCATTTCCAGATTTCCTACACATTTTCAAAACAAGCATAATAAATTTTGGAGAAGGACTTACAAAACCCCAAATACTCAAATATAAGGAAAGAGTCCTGACATTTTTTTAAAAACATCAGCCTTTATTATTTATACTCCAGTTGTCACCCACCCCATGACCCCATGACCCTCTGACTTCCCGACACGGGCCTGTAACCAGGGATTTCAGCTTGGTGGTGTGAACTCTTTGCTATTTTATGTATTTGGAATACGTAAGTAAATTATATGATCTACAGAGAGACAAGGGAGAGCATTTTTTTCCTCCTATGTCCTAGCCTCAAGATGACTTAGGAAAACACATCTTAGGTATTCACATTTTTCAAAGGGGCTGGGAACATGGAATTAGGATTTCATAAGACCTTTTCAAAACTGTTCCAGGCATCACTGAGGCAGTCAGTCAGATTCTCTCTGGATGGGTTGCTGATCAAAACTGGATCAGAAGGTATCATTACCACAAGCTCTACCTGGCCCTCTGTGGCATCGCCAACCTGCTTGCTCCTTTGGCCACCACATTCCCACTACTCATGACCTACACCGTCGTCTTTGCCATTTTCTCTGGTGGTTACCTGGCACTGATACTACCCGTGCTGGTGAGTGGGCGCGCTTGTTACCACTGTCACCCCGTTCAGCAGAGGCAAGGGGTAATACAACACTCTCCCCCAAAGAGAAGACATACTTTGTAGTAATTACATACTTTTTAAAAAAAGATTTTATTTATTTATTTTTAGAGAGGGAAGAGAGGGAGATAGAGATATAGAGACAGAGAGAGAGAGAGAGAGAGAGTGGGAGAGAAACAAACATCAATGTGCAGTTGCTGGGGGTTATGGCCTGCAACCCAAGCATGTACCCTGGCTGGGAATCGAACCCACGACACTTTGGGTGGCAGCCTGTGCTCAATCCAGAGCTACGCCAGCCAGGAATAATTACATAATTAAAAACTGCCATGCCCAGGGCCTCAGAACCCCTGCAGCCGTACCCTGGCCCGGCCATTCGACTAATCTTGGGGGCTGGGACGTGGAGAGAGCTGCCCACACGAAACAGGAGAGAAAAGGGAAAAACATGGGATCCGCAGGATCCCACTTTGCTTACCCGTTTCCCAGGTTGGGCTTCTCCTCACCTCTCCCCTTGAGCTCCAGCCACCTCCCTGGCTCCTTTTTTTTTTTTAATTTTTAAAAAAGATTTTATTTATTTTTTTAGAGAGGGAAGGGAGGGAGAAAGAAAGAGAAAAACATCAGTGTGCGGTTGCTGGGGGTCATGGCCTGCAACCCAGGCATGTGCCCTGACTGGGAACCGAACCTGTGACACTTTGTCTGGCTCCTTCTGAGACACGGCACCTAAGTGTTCCTGATGGAAGGCGCTTCCTGCCCAGCGTGGCTCCTCTTGTTGAGAAGCTCTGTGCATTTCAGTGGGGACTTTTTTTAAGTCTTCCTTATTTTTACCCCCAAATGTCTTAAGTCCTGGACACAAAGGGAACTGAAGTACAAACTTCTGGATTCTTCTTAGAACCAGGCCCCCAGTGTGCGGGAGGGCAGTCCCTACAGAAGTTCTGGCCTCACGCCAGCGTTAGCTGAGTGCTGCAGGACATCCCGTGAGGCTCAGGCAGAACCCAGCCTTCTAAAGCTGCCATCAGCTCCTCCTAATACAGGATCTTACAAACCCATGGTTGGAACTGAGCCTCAGGAGGGTTCGAAAATACCACTGTCAGCTAGACTATGAATTCCATTTCCTAAAAGAGAAGAGCAGTAAGGTTGGCGGGGGGGAAGGAGGAGAAGTACTCCGGAACCACCTAAAAGACTAAAAAGAGAACCACAGAACCAAAGTTCCTTTGTAATGCAGGGAAAACACCGCCTGCCTAGCGGTATATCGCTGGTCCCCCTCAGCCCCCTCCCAGTATTAGGGCACGGGCCATCCCGGTCACCTCAGGAGTCCATGGGTCACAGCCTGAGATGACATAAGCAGGATCTGTCCCTTGGTAGGCACAGGCGTCCACAGAGCTCCCCCTCAATGTGGCTGACACTGAATTCTATCCCCTACAGGTTGATTTGTCTGGGAACTCAGTATGTTACAAGGTGCTGGGCCTTTCCGCCTTCTTTGCTGGGACAGCTATTCTTTCTGGACCACCCATGGCAGGTAACAGCTTAGCCACAGTCTGAGCTACTGAGAGACAATGCTGACCCATGATCAATAGTAACGTGTAATGACAACATCAGCTTAGAAGCAGCTAGTGCCGCCTATGCTATTCCCATCCCACCCCCGCACTGCATCACCAGCCCGGGAGACAGGTGTGCACCGAACAGGTTCTTGGATCCCCGTGGGCACGTCAGAGTAGGGCTTGTGTGTACGTCTGCTGGTTGGGGAAGGCAATCCAGTTTTATCAGACTTTGAAAAACCTATGATGCTCCCAAGAAAAAGAACCACCACCATTTTTACCCACACAGGAGTCTCTTTTAGAGCCTGAAACTGTGGGCCCGACCCTCTGCTCTGCAGCTGTGTCCAGGGCTTCTCGACACCTCTTCTTCTGGAAGAGCGCCGGAGGCCCTTGTCTTCTCTCCGCACCCAGGGTGGAAGGGCGCCTGGCCCGCAGGCCAGAGTCTCGAGGTGGGGTGTGCGGGCCCGCAGGCACACAGCAGAGTGCAAGCCGGGGGCGTTCAGGTGTTGGTTTCCACCCACTTCTTCCTATCCGGACGTGTACCCCAAGACTATTGAAGACTGACTGCTCACGCAGAAATACTTCTAGGGAACACACTTAAGCTTTTGTATCTTCCATACTACAGTTCTCAATGTATCTGACCATACAAATCACTGCCACAGCATTTCCAATCGCCCACAGAAAGGAGCGCAGCCTAAAACCTACTGCTGCCTCCTTCAGTCGTAAAGTGAGACAGAAAAAGGATCTGATCTTGCCCACTATATCATTTTTTAAAAACTAAGTTATATAGTATTAGGTGTGCACTTCTATAAACTTAAGACTTAGAAAAGGCAAATATCTAAAGAAATGTATAAAAATCTAATAACGAAGACTAGTGGAAGGAAAAGGAAAAAATGCAGGTTTTTAATTTTAATTTTTTTTTTTTAGTTTTAGGTCAGGTGTACCTAATCTTTCTTTTTAAGATTTATTTATTTATTTATTTTTAGAGAGGGAAGGGGGGAGAAAGAGAGAGAGAGAGAGAGAGAGAAACATCAATGTGCAGTTGCTGGGGGTCATGGCCTGCAACCCAGGCACGTGCCCTGACTGGGAATTGAACCTGCGATACTTTGGTTTGCAGCCCACACTCAATCCACTGAGCTACGCTAGCCAGGGCGGTTAGGTGTACCTAATCTAAAGGCAAAACTTACTCAAGTATACAACCGAATCCTCATTTGCACGATGAACACACATCTGCCCCTGCTGTCTAACGCAGCCCGCACAGCATACCCGGAGAGCAGGCTAGGATTGCAAGTCGAGGCAGAATCAGCACACGGGGCCTGGTGAAAGCAGACCAAACACGAGAACTACCTCACGGCTAGTGCCCAGCGCAGCGAGATGCAGAAAACAGCCCAGTTACAGTTTTGCCTTGTTTTGTTTTCTTCATTCTGTTCCTCCTGGGACTTTGCAGCCTATTAGACCAAAAGTGCAGGGAGGTGCCCGCCACCAGTGCACGGAGCATCTCGGTCAGACCATAAGATAAAGGCAAGTAAAGCTACGGCATGTTTAGAGATTCCATGTCTTGTGCCTTTCTGTGCACTCCTTGAAATGAACTGTTCAGAGCTCCACACAGGAGAAGACATGGCTAGTTCTGTGAGAACCGCGGCCCGAAAGGCAAAAGCTATACATGTGTGTGGGTCTTGAAATCCATGTTGGATCAAAAGATCAAGATCAGTGATCTTTTATTTTTTTTTTAATGTAAAAGGACAGACTACAACAGCAGATTAGAAAACAGAATGCATCGCTTTATTATAAAGCTTTTATTTTACACATACACCTATGTATCTTAAGTATATGTGATGTAAAGGATACTTCTTACTGTTAGTGAGTCAAAAAAAATTTACAAACCTTTTATTACCCAAAGCCCACAACACCCGAGCAGTGTATGTGAGAGAAAGGAAGCTCACGGTAGAATCTTCACACCTGTTAATTCTGAGAATATTCATTAGGCAACTATAAATTTTTTAAGTTCTTTAAAAAGTCAAAAGGAAACACTAAAGCTGCTGCTGAAAGCTTAACCTACAGACTTTTTAGTCTCAAGTTGCTCCCCGTGTCCCCAACAGGATGACGGGAAGTAGTGCAGGCAGGCAGGCCCCCTGCTCTACCGCGAGCCTGCTCGCCCCGACTCAGGACTCGGGCCCTGTGTGGACGGCGGGGAGCTGCAGCGGGGCCTCTGCGCCTGCAACTCCTGCCTCTGGGAGGTGACAGAGGACGCTAGGAAGGCCACTAGATTTGTTCCTAAATTCTGACTCCAGCAGCAATTACCCGAGAAACACCCGAGATTCTGCTTTACAGACTCACTCGGCCTCCACAGGACCGGGCAGCCCCGTTCCCGTCCTTAGCCTGAAATCGACCAACAGGCTGCCACTGGTTATAAAACAGTGAGTTCTCAACCAAACTTAGATCTTCAAAACGGTACGGGATTCTCACTCTGGAACTTACCTGTCAGATCTTTCACTAGCAAACTGCAAAGGCTGAAGCTCCTAGAAAAGATCACAGGCATTTTACACTAGGAATCTAGCACACAGTGCAACCTTCCACAGTGATCCTCAGCCAGAACACTAGTCAACAATGGGAACGCCAGTTACCTGAACAGTATTTTTCTCCTTCCTGTATGGAAACGAGAAAGAAAAACAAGTTAGTCCTATACAGCATATTTTAATACAACATGGAAAGGAAAAAAAAACCATGAAAAAATCCATAGGAATCATAACAGCTTCTTGAAAATATACTTTTCTCTTTTAAAAAATGTATGAATATATAGGCAAGAAATTTATACACCTTTTAAAACCATGATTATGACAGTATAGTAGGCAACAAAATTCTCTATCCAGTCTTTGCTGGAGCTCTTTGACAGGGGCTAAAATGGGTGTGAGTTTAAAACGACGCCCCAGTAACACACACCTGCTCCACAAGCCACGCCCTGCCCGCTGCACCCCACCGCCCGCCCCTCCCATTCCCCTCACAGACTCGGTGACCAGTTCGCAGTGCAGAACGTGGCCTGCTTCAGACGGGGTGAGCTTCGGGGTTGTTCTGGGGTCCCCCGCACAGGCGACCAGGAGACCTAAGTGTAGCCTGGACGTCGCCCCTTAGCCACACCCAGCCGCTGTTGTTTCTGCCGGGAGCTGGCACCCAGATGGAAGCCTCGAAGGTTGTGGGAAAATTAAGAAGTACTGCTATTTTAAAACATTATTTCAATTCTAGTAGATCCTGTTACCAAAAGTAAGCCTGCAGAAAGCTGTGATAGCGCCTCTGGCAAAAAAGCAAGTGTATCATCATATTCTCCAACACACGAGTCAGGTGTAAGCCAGTTATGTGAAATTCCTCATCTTCCATCCAAAGGCATTTGGCACGTGAGCTCAAAATGCTAAAAAGGCTCCGTTTCATGTAAAAACAAAACCAAGGGCCCCTATTAGCTGCCCGTAAACTAAAGCTCAACGCAGTCCGCTCTCCTCCCCGTGTCCCCATCCCCAACTGATGGATGCACGTAACATGCTAATACACATTCCAATCAATCACAGTCACCTGCTGAAAACTCCCTTAAAACACCACAAGCAACTTATTTGGAAACTCAGTTTTCACTCAGTAACACCAAGGAACTTACCGGCCCAGCTCTCTGCCGGCTGCTGCGGGGGACGGGGAGCAGACAAAGGCTCTTCTCCGACTGTTCCCCCAGTTTCCTGGGGGGGGGGGTGGCGCCCCGCCCTGCCGCGCCCCCTGACGGGACTTAACTCCAGAACAGCGGCCTCAGCTCCAGCACCGGGTCCTAACAGAACACGCGTCCTCCCTCCACTTCACTGACGGGAAATTTAGGGAGGCCACTGTAACCCACGTCTCCATTTCCTTACCCTTAAATGAGGACTTTCTGAGCCGTCCTACAGAAAGAACGACCTTAAATCCCATTAAAGCTTCATGCAATCCAGTGCAGGTTCTTTACAAAAGTAATTTTTTCCCACAAACTCAAGGCAAGCCATTTCTAAGGCAAAATAATTCTGTCAGCTGCACACCAGCCTAAGTCCAAGCCAACCAGTCCCTAAAGGAGAAGCACGTGGCTCTCCTGCTACTGTTCGCCGACCTCACACTTCTCAACAACACCACGGGGTGAAACTGGGGATGCTGCACCAGCCATCGCCTGTGTTTTGTAAGAAAGGACGGTGGCTAGATGGAAACGCATCCCGCCAAGCTCGCCTCTGTGCCACTAACACAGAGGGGTTCCCCGCATGGGAGGACAGGTCCGTTCCCATCTCTCCCCCACCCGCACTTCGGGTCCCACATTAAACACTCCGCCCAGCCCCCACTCCCCGTGCCCGACCACGCCCTCCGCGCCTGTCAGCCATCTCTGCCTGTCAGTGGGGAATTGCTCTACAGCCTGAAACTGTGTTTGGAAGACAGACAAAACAACTTGACCCCCTGGTCTGCTATAAATCCCTTCGGAGGTTAGGAGTAAGTGAGAAAGCAGGGCAGAAGTCTCTGTCTCCTAAGTCCTGAGGGATACATTAGACTCTGAGCAGACAAAGGAAAATCATCTAAATAATTTCTTTATCCAGTGATTTTTCCCATAAACAACAATGCCCCATTAAATTTTATTTCGATCCAGTTTTTCTAGGATTGATGAATCCCTACAAAAACATCACAAAATAAATTCCAAATAGCTCCTTAGTGAGGTTTAAAAAAAGAAGGCGGTTATTCCTTCTCTTGCAAATGTACTCCTCTGCAAGGCCAAGGAAGCAAGCTTCAAAATCCTAACACAGACCACAACCTTCTTAATAAAATCCACAGCTCGGAGCCAGTACCTACCTACCTTACTGCAAGTCTCTATCATGGGCCTTTGGAGAGTTCCAGTCTTAAAAGCACCAAGGGTTGGACCACATTTCCCAAGATGACTGAAAATACCTGTACGTACTTTCCCATCATGGCGCATATAGGAAATATTTGCATAGCACACCCAAAGTAAAACAATGAGGCTGCTAAGAGCCAGCCAGCCAGCAGCTCCAGTGACCCCAGGGATGGGATAAGATCACTGTCTTGTACACCTTGGAAGTCTGCCCCTGGGCTGCAACCCAACAGCCCCAAGTTCTGGTTCAACGCCGGCCGGCTAGTCACTCACAGAATTCTCAACCACTAATTTGAACTAGCATCAAGGAACTTTGGAATTAAGAGCTTTGGGGTATATGTCAAGTTTTCATAAGATGACCAACAGTAAACTTGAAAGTAGTAATTCTAATAAAAAGGATTCATAACTGAGTTCAATCAAGCCCTGAGATACCACAGGTATAATATTTAGACAGGATGTTAAAACTCATTTTTAAACATGTATGGCTTAACCTGTAAAGTGATGTTAAATAGTGTATTTTTAAAAGATTCTTAAAATTTATCTTTAGACAGAGGGGAAGAGAAGGAAAGAAACATCAATGTGTGGTTGCCTCTTGTGCAGCCCCTACTGGGGACCCACCCCACAACGCAGGCATGTGCCCTGACTGGGAACCGAACCAGTGACCCTTTGGTTCACAAGTCGGCGATCAATCCACTGAGCCACACCAGCCGGGGCTAGTTTCATAATGTTGACATCTTATAAAATGAATTTAGAATCCTATATACATATCAAACGACAGATTTTTCTAATCCCTTTTGTGTTGGCTATAAGAAAGCTGGTTTGCAAAACTATTGAAGGAAGTGGAACCTTATCTTAGTTGTTTCAAATTATCACAGGAAACATTATTAGACATTCTGCCCAGAACATGGGTTACAGCTACAGACATAAGGAAGTAGTGTGGAGAACCAGTTTTTGTGCGTAAGAATCACTGGGCGCCATGCACCTCAGGCGAACCCGATGCAGGTGGTGCGGGGACACCGAGGAAATGCCCCAGGGGACTGCCGCTGAGCAGGCTGGTTGCCGGTGTCCCCTCGTGCGGGCCGCACACAGAAACACTAGCATGGAGCAGACACCTCTCTGAACTGCGGCTGTCACCTCATCACGACCGTCTCTGCCCCACACAAGGCTCTGCTATGACCACAAAGGAACCCAGTCTCCTGAACATCAACGTATGTGTGTGTTTCCTTTTGAAACAGCACACAGTAGCTTCTAAACTACCAGCAATAATTTCTTTTAAAAATATGTACTTGGAAGCATTAAACTGTTTAGGGTTGAAAGTGCATTTGTATACAGCTTTTTTCTACTGTTACCAAAAAAGTACAAAGCTCTGATAAAATCAGGACAAATACACAGTGTTCTGCTGTTCTGTGGTGGAGACAGGCTAATTGTTCCAGCCAAACAGAGCAGATATTTCGATATTCACAAAGTTCTGAATTTCACTTACCCAGGAGCCACTTAAGTCTAAGCCTGATTATGACAGCTAATACTTTTACAAGGCAATTAATTAATAACACAGTCCTGCACCCTATATCTTCCCTCAGATTTGGTGTTACAGACTCCTGAAACTAAATGCTCAACTGTACATTACAGTCCTACTGAAATGGCAGCTGGGTCTTAGAGACAGGATAAAAATGTATACTAGTATCTCAATTATCAAGTACAAGAAACAGATCTAAAACAAGTTATGTCATTACATTTTGCACGGAAATACATGGACACAATTCTAAAATATGCTAAGTGATATTTTAATCTTTAATGTCTCTAAAGCAACATTCTGACTTTAAGTGTACGTATATAGGTGAAATGACAGGCTTATAAGCAGTTTTCTCTTAAATTGTTTTGGGCCCTCTGGGATTTCTTAACAGCAACAACCACCGGTTTGCACTATTTTTAGCTGTGCTCTCCTGACCTTTTAGCAGCAGTATTTACCTCCACATCCAAGAATTTCTAGTTTTTTTCCCACAGTTATTCTTTCCAATACTGCTGGTCTCATAACCCACAGGTTATGTATATACTGGTAAATTTGCTGTATTAGTGAGACTAAGGCAAGAATGACAAGGGACAAAAGGGGTGCTGATGCTTTCCACATTCCCTTCTTTCTAGAAATTTCTAAAGGAGCTGGGAGATTGGTCACCTATTTCTCGGTGCATAAAGGTCAATCACAGCATACTACAAGGACCTGTCCTAGTCATTTTCACTCCAGTCTTTTGCTTAACCCCAAGAAACGTCTGAGATCCTTGATAAACATGGAGTCAGTAAGTAAAAAGCAACTAAAAGTTAGCTAGTTTAAGAGGCTCTAAAACATTCATTCATTACATTAAGAACAGGAAACATCAAGCTAATGAAACAACTACAAAACATTTCCAAGTCTGCATCAGAGCCAAATAAGAACAAAGAAGACAGGAGAGAGACATACACAATCAGACCAAAGAAAGGGTCCATGGTCTACCCATCCCGTGAGAAATCCAAGTACAAACGAAAATCAAAAGACACAACGTAAGCTCCACGAGGCCAGACATCTCCACCTATTTTGTTCACAGGTACACCCGCCCGCAGCACCCAGAACTGCGCGAGCACACAGCACCAACATTTTTTCAATCAATGATCAGAATAACAGCTTTAGCTTTTCTAAGGACTTTCTGGATTTTAAATATAAAAGCCATGATACAAGTTTGCATCTACAAACATAACAGGCATACAATCTCTAGAAAAGGAGCTGTCAGGTGTGGTCAGCAGCACCCCCGCAGAAGTCCTGAGACATTTTGAGGGAGTCTATAAGGTCAAAAATATTTTCATAACAATGAGATGTTATTTGCCTCTTTCACAGGGTTGACTTTTGCACGAGTGTTTAAATACTGGTACCTCGCACTAATATTCTTTGCCACTACACGCAGCTTTTTTTTAAAAAAAAAGTGTTACACTTCAGTTCTAGTATGTGCCGTTAGCCAAATGATTTTGAGGACCCCTCCCCACTCTTGCTTTGAAAGAGCATTTCGGGGTGAATTAGTCATCGTGAAACCCAACCAAGCAGCCAGTTCCTTTTCATCTGCTCTTGCGGTGTCCTGAACTTCCCTTCCTGGCCCTTATCGCGGTGCACTGTCTGTGACTAACACCCAACCCCACGGAACCTGACAGTCTGTGAGGGCAGGGGCCACGGCTGCTCTGGCTCATGACCGGATCCTCAGCCCCTAGGGAACACAGTCAAGATGCAAACATTCTTCAGTGAAGGAAGAAGACAATCAGTTCTCTTTCTTCCTTTGGAAAACCTTAGGAATTCACAGTTGTTTTCTTTGTAAGAACAGTGGCCTTCTAATAAGAGTCATCATAAAACAAAGTGGTATGTGTCCCCAACTTTCTCCAACTTCCACTCTAAGATCAGAGATGAGTTCTGGGTCCACAATGACTTTTTCTCCACGGGTTGAGTCCCTACTACCTCCATGGGCAGAAAATAAGACAGGTAAGGAGCTCAAGTAACTTTCTAATGGGCCGAGATGCGGCCTGGTAAGCGCTGCAGACTCCTTTCTTCCAGGACGGCTCGTGGCTGAGGGGGACCAATGAGGTCCGCCTGGCTGACAGAGCCATTTTTCCCTTCCAGGCTGGTTGTATGATTACACCCGGACCTACGCCGGCTCTTTCTATCTCTCCGGCGCGTGCTACCTCCTCGCCTCGGCCTCCCTGTTCTTTGTGCCCCTGGCTGAGCGCCGGAGGAGCAGAGCTTAGGCAGAAGGAGAGGAATGCCAGCAAGCGCGGGCTTAGCAGGAGAAGAGCCAAAGGGGCAAGCCACCGGAAACAGAAGAAAGCCTGCGGGAATAAGCCGCTGGAAGCAAAAGCTCAGAAGAAAAGTGTCCTCACATGTAAAATAAGAAAGCAAGTCAAATATGGATAGTCTTTAAGGTTCCTTTTTCCTTTAGCATTCTGTAGAGTGTCTAATTGGTAGTACGAGAGGAGTAATAGCAACTTAAATTATGCCAGCTGTTAGTATTTAATAGGTCACAATTTTAATCAGTTAAAGCAGCTACCTTAGGTATTAAATGAAAATCAGAATGTTCTATAATAATAAATTAACCAAATTCTCAGTTGTGCTGTAGTAATTCAGTCAATAAAATATGTGAAGACAAAAAAAAATTTTTTTCTTAAAGAAGTATTAAATACAGCCAATGGTTGACCAGAACTCTGGAATCTGAATATTAAAACCTTGTTTAGTAACTATAATGTTCCACATCCCCCAAAAGTTTATCTTTGCTTATTCATTAGAGGTTCTTTATTTTCTCTGCATTATTTTGCTTTTTAAATTTTCTGTAATGTACATTGCTATATAAAAAATAAATAAGAATTGCTCAAAAATAACTTTTATTTCAAGATCATTTAAATAGTATTCCTACCCATCAACATTACTTTTTCACTACATCAAATTATCTAAAATAACCAAGCTCAATGTCTAGATGTGTCTTTAGAACAACAAGTTTTATGAAAGCTGAATAAGTGACTTTTTTACAAAAAGATTTTAGAGACAGGGGAAGGGAAGGAGGAAGAGAAACATCAATGTGTGAAAGAAACACGGTTGCTTCTCACACTCCCCCACCAGGGTGCCTGGCCTGCAACCCAGGCTTGTGCCCAGACCAGCAACGAGCCAAGACCTGTCCTTGCTCTGAGGGACGATGACCAGCCAACCGAGCCACACCAGTCAGGGCGAACAGGTGGCATTTACCCAGAGATACCCTTAAACTAAAAGATATTTCTTAAACATGGAACAATTATGTTAACTAATAATGTCCCTTAGACTAAGCAACTACATGCCAAAAGCCAGCCCTTCATTATTTGGTGATTTTAAGAAGGAAAAACCCCGAACTGTCTGCAACACCAACCTCGCTCAGTATCTCCTTCAGAATGCTCCTTTAAACTACTACTATTGTTATTATTAGTACATCCTTCCATTCTTTTCTGCTTTAAAATAGCCACTGATTCCCTACAGAGAAAAACCCTAAACTGAAAGCTGGTTTTAGTTCCAGAAGGCCACACCCTCTCACTCCCAGGGCACGCCTTTGTGCAAGGCTGGCCACCAGCCACCTCCCCAGGGCCTGCCCCCCCCACCGGGTGGTCTCACTTTCCCTCCCAGTCAGACTCAGTCCAGGCCAGCTCCTCTGGGAAACCCTCCCTAGCATTTCGTAAGCCATCCTCTTGTCTGGAACCCCACCTACCTTTCACCAGAGTACAACCGTGTGAGCTTAAATGTCAACCACTTCCATCGGCCTGCAAAATCAACAACGTGGATGGTGTTTCATTCACTGTTGTACTCCCCAAGGCCCAGCATAAACTTTGGACGAGATTAATCTGGGTTCCAACCTCAGTTATCTTAAAAACAGTAGCTGGTCCTACTTAAAATGCACAGGGTTTACATGTCAATGTAATATCTAACAATTCTTTTTACATTTTAGGTGTAAGATACACGAAAACAACAGACACTCCTCCTCTCACACACACAACGGCAAATGTAGTTAATAAAAAATCCCAGCTCTGCCACCTGTTGCCATGTGACCCCGTGAAATTTACTCCACTTCTCTAAGTCCCAATTTCCTGCTCTGTCAATTCAGGAGAGTATCACCCACCCACCTCACAGATATATTGTGGGGATTAAATGAAAATACACTGGTATCAAGCAAAACACTCCCTCATACACAGTAGCTTCTAATTTCCTTTCTTCTGCTTTCTATGTCAGGAAAAAAAAAAATCAATAAATTATTAGGAACCACTTTCTTCTACCCCCCCTTCCCCTTTGAGCAATAATTATTTTCAAAAGAGCCTTTACCTAAGGCAACTCACTTCCCTCCTGTGAAAGCAGACTGTGCATTTTAGGCAGGACCAACGAGGGAATCAACCCCAAGTTGAATTCTGGTGCATGAACCTTACACAACAGCCGTTCGTGCTCCTCAGTGGCCTCGATGGGAACGGCCCGACAACGCGGCGGCGCGGACCTCCGTCACTGACGTATTCCCTGTGATCGGCGCCTCGACGTTCCTGCTCCTTTCCCACTTTTCTTGGACAATATTATCAGACGTCAACAGAATTTTAAGAACCCATAATCTAGAAATAGTATCCCAGATAGATATAGATAGGGTTTCAAGAAAAGCAAAATAGTACGGTGTTTTTTGTTCTCATTTTTCCTCAAGAGGTCCCCCGGGGGCAAGGAAAACAAGTATTAGACTTCGGTCACACCACCATGTGTGTTTGGAGTGGGAGGGCAGTGAATAATTGTACCTTAATATCTAATATAATCCATACTAGTCACCGAGGCAGGCACACTGCACATGTATCATCGGGTTTAGTCTTCGGCAGATACTATCATGCCCGTTGGACACACGAGCGAACAGTCCAACAGACCCCACGCCCGGGAAGTGCTGGAGTCACAAAGCAAACACACACCGACGCCAGACACCACGCTTCCTTCCCTCTCTAGACCGTCCTGGCTTCTTGGCAGCACCGCGGGTTTACGAAGCCAATGAACTGAAAGCAGCTTATATATATGTATATATAAAAACTAATGTGTATATATATTACAGATTTTTTACAGAGAGGGGAAGGGAGGGAAAGAGAGGGAGAGAAACATCAACATGTGAGAAACACATTGACTGGCTGCCTCTCACAGGCCCCCAGCTGGGGAACCTGGCCCACCAGCACTCAATCTGCTGACTCACACTGGCGAGGGCAAAATTATCTTACAATTATAAATTTGTTCTGGCTCAAATTAGCATAAAATCTTAATATGTAGATTGAAATGAAAATGCAAAGTACCCAAGAACTAAAACAAACACATCTGCTACAATGCAATAACTATATAGTTGTTAAGATAATGAACTTTAGATGTTCTAATATTCACCAACCTGATCAAAAAAGGTAATGCCTAAGTATAGGCCACTTGTAATTCCTTCATATAAAAATATTAGCTTAGTAAATAAATTATGTCATTAAATATTATTTCTGATACTAAAACTCTATTACCTTACAGTACTTTTAAGTTCTTTCCAATCTGTCACCCCATTATCATCATTTCTGTAAGTCCTGGGAGGAAGCTGGAAATGTACCATTTCTATTTTATAATTAAGGAACAAAAGCAAATTAAGACCAAGTTATCTGCCTAAAGTTAGGAAGCTCATCCCAGACAGAGTCAATTCCAACACCTGGTGACCAGTGTTCGTCAGATCATGGCCCTTGGCTTCTCTCCTTTAACGATTCTGTAGTTTAACATTTTTCTAAAAAGATTATTTATTTATTTATTTATGTTAGAGAGACAGGAATTGGGGGAGAAGGAGAGGGAGAGAAACATCAATACATGAAAGACACATCACTAGGTTACCTCTCACACCCCCCAGCCCGGACACAGGAATTGAACCAGCGACCCTCTGGTTCGCAGTCCAGCGCTCAATCCACTAAGCCACACCAGCCAGGGCTGTAGTTTAACATTTAATAAGAGCAAAAGTCATACTTGAATGGACTGAAGTGATAATGTTGTGATCAAATAATCTAGGCATTTTAATATACATGATCCTGTGTTTGCAAAAAAAAAATTAGCTCCTTAATGGATCAATGTGTCTCACTGCAAAATCAGCTTTTCCCGTAAGAGAAAAAACACACTGTGTATAAATAGTTGATGTTAACTGTGTTTTTTTCTTATTTTTTATTTATTTTTTTATTTTTTTAGAAAGAGAGGGAGAGAAACATCAATGTGTGGTTGCCTCTCACATGCCCCCACCAGGGACCTGGCCTGCCACCCAGGCATGTGCCCTGACTGGGAATCGAAACAGTGGCCCTTTGCTTCGCAGTCTGCGCTCAATCCACTGAGCCACACCAGCCAGGGCAATGTTAACTGTTTTTAAGAGAGACATAATACAAAACTTGGACAGAGGTTTCTCGGAAGACCTCAATGTAAAACCAAAGCCCACTACTATTTAAAAACCTTGAGTGGTTTCTCTTAAGTCAGAACCAGCTTCTGTGAGGCTTTCTGCCGACACATATGCCTCATTCAGCCACGCATTTGCCACAAGTATCTCTCCGATTGTCTCACCTTTGTCACCCAGGGTCTTAACACACACAAACAACAGTGAAAAGTCCTTGGTCTTAAATTGTTTTTGCTCTTGATTTATAAAATGGAAATGATACATGCCCAGCTCCTTCACAGGACTGACATGATGATAATGAGGATAGGCCGCAAGGAACTTAAAAGTACCGTGAGGTAATAAGAGTTTTAGTATCAGAAATAGTTTTTAATGACATAATTCATTTATTAAAGCTAATATTTTCATATTAAGAAATTATAATTGGCCCTGGCTGGCATAGCTCAGTGGATTGAGAGCGGGCTGCGAACCAAAGTGTCGCAGGTTCGATTCCCAGTCAGGGTACAGGCCTGGGTTGCAGGCCATGACCCCCAGCAACCGCACACTGATGTTTCTTCTCTCTCTCTCTTTCTCCTTCCCTTCCTTCTCTAAAAAATATATAATAAATAGAACCTTAAAATAAAGAGAAGCTGTAAAGAAGCACATCATAGAATAGACTAAATTAAAATATATATATATAATTGGCCTATACTTAGGCATTACCTTTTTTTGGTCAGGTTGGGGAATATTAGAAGACCTAAATTTTTAAATAAATCAGTTTAAAATTCATGTCTTATTTCTACGAGAGAGGTAAGATGGCATTGCCATATGACAATCATTTCTTTAAAAAAACAGCCTAATCCCTGGTACATTCCGACAGAAGCCAGCGCATGGTGAAATCTCCAGAATGTTCAATAAAAACCTAGAGAGGCCTTTTCAGGGGTGCAGAGAACAGACTGAGAGAGGATGGCCAACTGTTTGGGTTTGGCTGGAAACGAGGGCACCCCTGGGACTTGGACTTCCAGTTTTAAAACCAGGATGAGGTGGCAACTCTTACACTGAGGACTGGAGAACCCATTGAGATACTCGATAGCATATACACAAAAAGTAAATTTTTTCCTAGCCATTTCCCCCCAAAATATCACAAATTCACTTCTATTTTTGCCTCATTCAAGCCACAGTGAGCAAACAGAAATGAACAGGATACACAGTAGTTAAGAAAGGGAGGCGTACATTTTTACTGAGAATCTACTTTTGGGCATGAACTTGTGAATGGACTTGTGAAATTTTAAAAAATGAATTCTCTTTCCCTACTAAAAAACTTCCGACTTTCCCTTCTTACGCTATTTTTACAAAACTGACGATCTGACCTAACATAAAGCCAAGGTGTCCCACTCTGCGGTCCGTGTCAACGAACACTGAAGTTCATGTAGCAGGGAAAAGAGAAGTCTATCAAGGAAATGAGACAGATACATTTCA